CTCAGCAGGGTATTTCAATAGATCCACCTGTTCTGCTCCCCACTCTGTCTGGTGAATCCTCTCCCCACCCCCCACACACCTCTGGCCTATACTCCATTTCTTCTAGACACACACACACACAACATACATAAGCAATCCCGTTTTCCTGTAGCTACTACTCTTTTTTTCCTGTCCTCAATGCCTCACCTCACAATTGTCCCTTGGACCCAACCAGGCATTTTTAACTCTTCTTATCAAGGTCACAAGTGACTTTAATATTGCTAAGTTGAATGGTCAGTCTCAGCTTTCATGGTAGTAAACCTATTAGCACATTTCTCAGTCACAGTTGGAACAGCTTGGCTTCTAGGACACCACAGTCCTTGTGTCTCTCCTGTCTGATTATTCATCGGTCTTAGCTGCATTATCTACTTCCCTCAAAATTTTAAGTTTCTCATGGCTCAACCTCCAAAAAGTTATCAACCTGCTGATGCCCAGGTTTAGACTTCTGGCTTCCAGAACTGTGAGAGAAATCAGTTTCTATTGTTTAAAGTCACCTGGTTTGTGGTAATTTGTAAGGGATCCCTAGGAAATCAATTCATACTTCAGTCAAGCTCCTTAAAAACAAACCTCAAGTGGCTTCTCATCCCAAATCATGTAGGAGTCCAGATCCTTCCCACAGCCACTAAGACACACTGGAGACCTCTTTGACCTTGCTTCTTGCCTTCAGCTTTGCTAACATGCCCCAGTCACACTGCTCTCCTTGCTGTTTCTTGAAACCGCCAGGCTTTGTCTTCACTATGTATGCCCTTCTCACTTAACTGTATACCTGAGAGAGAGCTGCATTGTAGTATGTAGAGAATCTTCTCATTCCTTTTTATACATTTCATTGTGCAGCTAAAGCATTGTTTAACTTACTCTGTTGATCAGGTTGTTGCTAGTCTGTTATTACAAATAGTGCTATAGTGCCTGGAGCATACCTCTTGTACAATGTGTTTTAAGATTGTGTTCTGGAATCTAGATTTCTAAAGCATAAATTTCTACGTTTTGATTTCTGGGTCAAAAGGTAAATGCATGTATCATTTTGCTGAATACCACTAATTTCTCCTCCATCAGGACTGCCATTCTGTGCTTGTTTTACCATAGCTTTACTACAGGATGAAGTCAAATGTTAGGTTTTTGCTAATCAGACAGAAGGGAAATGTATTTCAGTGTAGTTTTAATTTACATTGATCTTTTTAGTATGCGTGATCTTGACTATCTTTTTTCATCGTAAAAAGGTAATTTTCACACTTTATAAAATGCATTGTCTATCCATATAGAGCTCTGGTGGTACTTTCTTCAGCTTTTCTTTATGTTTCAAATTATCTCTCTGTAAACTAACAAGCCTCAAATTTTAGCAAGAATAGGATATACAAAGAAACCTCAGGGCCTGGCGAAACTGCAGTTGACACTGGTATGGGAACCGTGGAGAACTGTAGACATGTACTCAGCACATGGACAATAATACAAATATTTTTGAGTATTTGTTGGGTTTTTGGATTACGAGATAAGAGATCTTGAATTTCTTGGCCATCTAAATTAATTTAATCTTATTAAGTCAACTAATATTTGTTGAGCATATGCTATGTGCAAACACTGTTTTAGGTACTAGAGAAACAACGTGAGCTTATTCTGCCTCAGGGAATGAATGGAGAAGGGAATGACATTTCCCCCCCTTGTCTAGGTGAAAAATCACCACTAAAAGAATATACTCTTGGGCCTCCCCGGTGGCGCAGTGGTTGAGCGCTGGGTTGCGAAGCTGCCTGCAGCCTCTGCAGCGCCGTTTCGATCCCCGGCTGCTCCCCGGCCACTGGCTGAGGGTCCCAATGGTGCGCAGACCTCTCTGCTCTGGCTCTGGTGAATTCTCTCACCCTCCCACGCTTCCGACTGTAGCCAGTGCATGTATAAATAAATGAATAGAGCTTTAAAAAAAAAAAGCTTTAAAAAAAAAAGAATATACTCTTGGTTCATATGATATTCCCATGTTTCAGAACATGGGAGATGTTCTGGATACTACCATTTGCAGTATCCAGAAATTGGGGCTCAGTCCTACTAGTGAGTCGAAGCAGTGGGTAAAACACTAGTATCTGCCATCGCAATGACTATTAGTGCCCTGTCTTGTCTTGTTCTCTTTTTTAATCAACAAAGGAAAAAGCATCCTGTCTTCCTGTCACTGTTCAAAGTCACACAGAGACAGAGTTCCTGGTGTTTAGGTCTTCCTGGGTTATTTCCACAGCCACCAACCTTGTAGAGACCCTAGGGTGAAAGAATAACTCAGATGTAGCCCCCTCCTTGTTCCCATCTGGTCTGGAGAACAACTCTTAATAATGAGCGATATTTGCTTGGTGGTGGCATTATTTCTGCCTGACTATTCCCCTGCCCCCACTTTACATGCCTGCCACATAGTTCTCCTGGATTCTGAAACTGGTTCAAAGGTTCTGCAGGATGTTTTTAATTGCATAAGGGAGACAATACAAACAGTTAAAAAAAAATGGGAGCAGGAAGATAAAAGTAGGATGCTAGGAGGGAGGAAGGCTGCTATGAGTTAATAAACCATATAGATTGTTGCTAAAGGGAAAAACTAAGGCTCATGGTATAAAGAATTGTACGTAAGCAACTAACACTTCAATCTTCTGAGCCTGAGTTTCTTCATCTATAAATTGAGATTAATAATGCCTGGCTGATAGTGAGGTCATAAGGATTCAAAAGGTCCCATGTTTTTAAATATCCTTTATAAAGTTCAGTACTTCTTCCACTTCCTGAGCTGGCTATTTGTGGTCTTCTGATAAGCTGTGCCTCCGCCTGCCTCCCTGACAACTTCAAGCATGTGTACACACACCAAAGGTATTTAAATAGGAAGACCGACTAGTGGTGATTCACACAGGCTGATTTTTCTAGAAGGCTGGTCAGTTAGTGTTTCGGTAGGATCTTTGAAGACTCTTCCAGGATACCAGGTGAGATGAATCCACTTCACAAAGCTCCTGCTCCCAGGCAGCTGTGCTGTGCTCTTTTTAGAGCGATATAAAGTAATTGCCTGCTGGCTCAGTGAGCCATCTCTTCTCCCAGGAGCACAAAAGAAAACTCAAAAACATCTCCAGTTTTGATTGTAAAGGGGAGTAAAAGTAGTCTAAAAAAGAGTCCAGGTGTCTCTCTGCACAGACCCACCTCCCTCTGCGTTGCTGTCTATGCTGACGTCCCTTCTCCAGGACTGCTAGGCTCTAGAGGCTCACTTGCGGAGAGCTTGCTGGTCATCGCCACTTGCTCTCAACCTGAAAGTTCTGGAAGTTCCTTAACCTGGCACAAGGCCGGGCTGACAGGTGTCTGTCAAGGGTGCTAGGAACCTGGGAAGTGAACTTGGTGGAAACAGGTTTGGCTACTTATGGGTAGCCTTGTTTTGATTTAAAGAAAAAAATCGTAGATGTCATGCTGAGTAAGCCATGTTCAGTTTTGACTTTCAGCTGTGGAATTCCTAGTGCTGATTTTATGAGGAAAAGTAAAAGAAACACGATGGGCCTGTTTAAAATGCTTTAAGAGGAAAACATCTACATTCTGCTCTTTTGTGGACCATCCTCGCACGAGCTTTCCTCCAACTTGGCTTTTGGTCAGGTTTTCACCTCATTTCCTTTGCTGAGTTCTTTTCCACCATGTGCCATAAAAGTGTTCTTGGGACTCATCCTTGCTCCTTTCTCACCACATACCCTCACCAGGATAACTTCTCTATGTCCATGACTCTCCCCAACTCCTGACAGCTCTCTAGAGGGGGAGAAATAGTCCACTTGCAGGGGCATGGCTGTGGCATGGGCAGCCAGCTCTCCCTGCTGGCCCAGAAGAGCTGGTGAGGAGCCAGGATGGGTTGGGCAGGGCAGGGGGAGGTGTCAGGCAGCAGGGGTGGACATGTTCATTATTCTGGCCTTGATAGGAGTTGCCATAATGCCAGAATCCTGGGCCAGCTGCAAACCAGCTCTTGTGTGTGTTCATTTAAATCAACTCATATTAACTAAAGTAGAAAATGGGTTTGGGAGTCATCTTTGTGTCTAAGAGAATATTGGGGAGACTGGAGAAGGGAAGGCCTAACATCAAATCAGTGTTCCCAAACTGAATTGCATTAGGCACCTGCTAAAGGGCTGTGGATGCCAAGGGGGACTCTGGGGAAAGCAGGAGGGTGAGGTCCAGGCCCCGCCCCACAGAGCTCTAGATGCAGCAGGAGAGAGCTCCCTCAGACCACATGGCCCGAGATGGGAGTGGGGACAAGGCGACAAGATGTGGGGGGTCAGGGTGGGGTTACGGATGTATCTGGGACTTGAGGAGGCCTGGAAAAATAGGCAGAGATGGAAATTGTGTGGGTATTCACCATGGAACAGAGAAAGCAAAAGTCCCTTGAGGGAGAGCACAGTGGAGCTGGGGTAACCCTGACTGGGGTTCCTGGAATGTGCAGGGGAGTTTTCTGAGATGAGGGAGCTAGAGGTCAGGCCCTGAAGCTAAGAAATTGCCCTAAGTTGCATAAATAATGAGTTGTTAGCATACCTTTTCAAAGTTAATTCAATGAAATTCAACAAAAATGTGTACAAACACAGTGCCAGGCATTCCTCAGGTGTGGGGCATCCCGGTGGGCAGGGCACTGCTTCTGTGGCACATTCACATTCATGTTCCAAGCCCAGCACTGTGTATCTGACTCTGGCCTGCTGCAGTGGATGGGGAGGCTGCCGCCCGGTCCAGGTGAAGGCCTGGCCTAAGCTACAGCAACAGTGGGGAGGGTCCCACAAGGGATGCCAGGCCCAGCTCACAGGCCCAGGGAGGACAGCTGGAGGGTCAATTAGGTGTGAACTCCCTCAGCCAGGCCAAGCCAAGTGCTCCAGCAGCTGACATGGGAAGCAGCAGCCCATCAGTGGGTGGGATGGACGGTCAGAAAGAAGGGCTCAGAGACATGAGCGCAGGAAGGGAGGAGTCAGGGGGCAGGGGAATGGAGCAGCCTGTGAGAGGTCTCATTCATCACAATCGTAGCTGGTTGACTGGTCAGGGGATCCCCAGTCCGGATTGGGTGCGCAAAATAGTTGGCCTGCTTCAGTCTCACAGTTGTCTTCCTCGTACTGCCCTCCGGAAGTGTCACTCATCTGATCTGAAGACCCCCAGTGGACCTTGAGCTTCCTGTAGGAAGTGAGCACAGGGGAGAAGTGTCCTCACTCAGGTCCAAAGGAGCAGAGCCTGGTGTTCCTGGTGGGACCAAGAACTTCAGACCCACAACCCTACCGGCCCCTGGGACACTGAACTGAAAGGGAACTTAGAGGGACAGGAAGGTGGCACAGGTGTGTTTCCTCCAAAGTGAGGGTGAGAAAGGCACAGGCTAGGCCCCCTGGACACAGAGGGACCCATCACTGGGCTGTGGACTCTGGGATGCCCGCCACTGGGATCTGAGACTGGAGAGCCACCGGCCATGGAGTCAGGTCGGTGTCACTTTGTGTCGTGGACAGTGCTCTTTTTTCGCTTCTAAAGTCAGGCTGATACTAGTAGCAGCTGCCCCCACGGGTAGTGCACGGAAGAGGTGTCTGTCTCATCTGCTCAGACCCACTCAGACCCGCCAACGGGCTGCCCTACACTCACCCCTTCGCGCCACCCTTGCCCTCGTTCTCATTCCCACTCTTGTTCCGGCACCGGCAGAAGTAGATGATGAGGCTAAGGACGATGGCCCCCACCACGATGCCCCCGACAATCAGGTATATGGTGATGTCCTCGGAGGTCCGGGAGTCTGCAAGAGAATGGAGCAGCTAACTCCTGAGTCCCTGACCTGAGCCCAGGATCCCAGGCAGAGAGAACTGAGGGTGGAGGCCCCACAGCCTCTGCGCCTCACCCGCCTCCCTCCCAGGGAGCTCTCCATGGTAGTGCTTGCAGAAAGACATGGCCTTGGAGGGATGTAACCAGACAGGCTCAGGAATACCCTTTAGGATGGAGGTGCAGACAGCACAGAAAGGCTACTGGTTTCGCATCCCACCCCTCCCCAGGCTAGCCAGGCTCTGAGAATGTTCTCCCTGTCAGTCATGCCAGTTCCTCCTCTAGCTTCTCCCTGAGCAGGTAGGGGTGTTCCATCCTAAAAAGATGGGGTCTGTGGTAGTTGGTTCTGGACACTCTCCATGGCAACTGAGCAGCCCACAGGGCAGCTGGTCTGAACGGGCTCACTTCGCTCACTTCCATGGGGATACAACTAGCCTCCTGGTGAGGGGAGACTGGGACAGGTGCATCTGGCCCAGGTCACCCCAGCCACCTGTCAGTGGGTGGCCCTAAAGAGACTGCCACAGAGGTCTCTCAGCTGATTCTTTTGACCCCCAGCCAATCATCTTCTGGCTTCTGCCCCCTTCCCCCTGCCACTTCCCTCCCCTAATCCACAATTATGGGGTTTGACAGCCACAGTGATGTAGGATTCTGTGTCCATGTCATTGCTGGAGGTGCATTTGCAGTAGCTAGACATGCCTGTGGAGACGGTCCTCAGAGTGAGGACCTGTCCCCTGACTAGAAAGGAAGAAGAGTCAGGTAAGAAGTCAGTACCAAGGGGAGTGGACCAGCTAGAGAAATCCAAACCACTTAGATCTAGAAGTCAGGGACTTTAACGAGGCGGGTATAAGCAGAGCCCCTTAATATCTGAGCCTCCCTGTAGTTAGGGGCAAATACCCACCTCTGGGGCTGTGGACCCTCAGAATCTCCAGGATACGTTTCCAAGGTGCTTAGAATTTAGTTGGGCGGTCTGGGTATGAAGCTGGCTTTTGTCACTGTTTTTAAGACCTTGGGCAAATAGCTCTGCTGAACCTCAATTTCTTTTTTTTTTTATAAGATTTATTTATTTATGCATATAAGAGCTGGGGTACAGGCCAGAGATGTGGGGGGTGAGAGGACCCACCAAAGACAGAGTGGATAACAGAACCAGCAGACTGACCTAAATACACTGCTGAGGGGAGCAGCTGGCAAGACGGGAGAGGGCTGCTGTGCCAGGTGGGTTGCTCTCTGGCTGGCCAGGGATCGAACTCGTGCTGCAGAAGCTGCAGATTGCTTCATAGTACGGTGCTTAACCCCTTGCGCCACCGGAGAGGCCCCTGACCCTCAATTTCTTTATCTAAAAATGGAAATAATAACAGCCTGTCTCAGGGTCACTGTGAGCTTAAATGAAGTAGAAGTAGAGGTAAGGCCATGACAGAAAGCCCACATGCATGTATCATGTGTTCAGGAAACATACATAGCACATATGTAATATACACTATACTATATGAAAATGCTTTATAATTAGATATTATAGGCACTCTTGTGATCTTCAGAAAGTGAACCCCTTTGCTTGGAAAGTTCTAGAATTCAAGGCCTCTGACCTCTGAGTGGCGTGTGTGTGTTTATGTGTCTTGACTTCTCCTTTTCCACCCATTCAGCCACCTAGCTCCTTTGAGCCGCAGTAACCTCATCTGGCAGTGGGAGTGAAAACACCTCATCCTCTGACTCAGGGAGGGATGTCCTGCTAATTCTGTGATCCTACAAATCCCTCCACCTTGAAAGGGAGTGCTTTATACCTAGACATTTATATGTCCTGTCCTCAAAGACACTGTCATAACTGCCTTCGTGAGTAGTTAAGAGAGCTCTGTCCTTGGGGTTGCAGAGCCGGCCTCCTGCTGCCACCTGGTGGTTGGCTGCATTCAGAGCGTTGTTCCAAATTACAAGCAGGTTCCTGTCACTGTCCTGTTCAGGCATTTCGGGGGTGGCCCATAATCCTTATTGGCAAGCCCAGGCTTCTGAACACGGCCACAGGGTTTCGGTCACCGCAACCGTGTGCTGTTCCCTGATGGCCAGTCCTCCCCCTGCCTCACCTCTACTCTCTTCAAGATTATATCTCCGCGTGGATTTTCCTTGTCTGATCTGCTGCTGAGTACCCTTCCTCAAATATAACCATATCTGCTGATTTGTATGGCAGGCAGAACAAATATTTCCATCTCTAATGTCACACAGGTAACTGGAGATTTAGAGAAATCAAAACCACTTTGGGCAAGTCAAAAAGACTTGCCCTCAACCATGAAATTAGCAAATGGCAGTGCGGTAGCAACAATCCTGTCTTAGGTCTAGAACTCCCTGAAGCAGTTGACAGCTTTCTTTTAAAAATTATATTATAAATGCAATAGATGCTTATTATAAGAACTTACACATGACATATAACAACTGCTTCAGTTCCACGCAATCCATAAAATCTTTCTGTGCTGATCACATTAGTTCAAAACAAGACATGAGGGTCCCTGAACTTTTGGTGTTTGCAGTCTGTAAGGAAAGATAAATGTGAAATAATGGTGCCTAGAGGACAATTAGAATTCAGAATGGAAGTGGTACTGGAGTTTATAGCCAGGGAGTTTAGTCTCCTCTGTGCTTAGGGAAAGCCTCCACTAAGAACAGAGAATAAAACAAGTATCACCCGTAAACTCACCAGCATTTTGATTTGAGATTATTTTCTTCTAATTTTTTCACATGACCTCCTTCAGATTCTTCCCTTGAAACCCAGGACACTATTGTCTGGTTGCTCATAGAATTCCTTCCTGTGTCCTAGAATTCCACACCTTGGTCTGTTTTCTGTAATATTGCTCCCATGTGATAATACATGGAGCTTCAAAGGCATCCATGACCAAACAAGTTTCGAAGTTATTGAAGAAGGGTTAAGTATGATTTTTAATCTCAGAACTTCTAGTGTGCTAACAAGCACTGGACATCTCAGGGGTTACACTATTAACGGTCACACTTCATGTCTAAAAGGCCATTTTGAAATGCTCCATGAACTTAGGGCCTCCTTTGAGAGGCGCCAGCTTTGAGCTCCCCCCTTGTTTAGGGCAAGGAAACAACTGACTTCTTAGTCCACAGTCAACGTTATCCTTCCCCAGTTTCCCGAAGCAAACAGTGGATGTTAGAAGGTACTATGAGGATTAGCAGGTGTATATCTGGTGCCACAAGATCTGTTTTGATTCTGGATTGGTGCTTCCAAGGGCCTTTCCTCTAGAAAAGTACCCAACAGTTCCTAAAATTAATGTTTCTGTTGCAGTTGTGACACCTTGTGGTCAAAAATGAAAATGCACGAGAAGTACGACAGTCCCTCTGCACTAGCCGGGTGTTGGGAGGCCGGATGGGGGAGACTGGGGGAGGGGGGGTTAATTTCCTCAGAGAAGCCCAGAGACACTCCCAGAATCACTAAGGTCAAATTGATCAGATTTAACTTTCCTGCCGCACCCCTACACCGAGCTCTCACCCGGCCCTCAAGACCCTGCCTGGTTGTTGGGATCAGGGCTCACAGCCACCCTTCAGAACTTTCTCCAAAACTCTCTTGGGACCCAGAATCACCCCTCTCTTCTTCCTTGTTATTCAAATTCTTGCCCCCCTCAGTGCATGAATTCAGCTGATAGGACGGGATTTATAAAGGAGGCCTAGAACAAGCATGATCTCTTCCCTTCACAGCCGGCTGGGACGGTGGTGGCATAAAGGTCACAACAGTGACTAAGCACCAGAGAGGCTGTGGTGACTTACAGCTACAAGGTGGGGCCATTGGGACTCATGCCCTTGTTTACTGATCCCTGCCCCCGTGTTTTCACCGCTGGTTTGCTTCGATGCATTGCTAAGTCAAGGGAAGCAACTTTTTTTTTTTTTAACTTTCTTAAATTACCTTGTATTGAGGTAATATTGGGTTACACCACCGTGTATGCTTTAGGGGTGTAGGCTCACGCCTCTTCGGGTGTAAGTCACCACATCACATTTACTGCCAAAGCGCCTGTAGCCCTCCACTGCCCCCCTTTTCTCCCCACCCCTCACTGCCCTCACCAGTCCAGACCTTCCCTGAAAGTTTCCCATCATCAAAACCAGCTAGGATTTTGAACTCGGCAGATGGAGGGCAAAGCGGGGAGCGGGGAAGGCGGTTGAGACTTGCGGGACTCCCAGGCAACTGGGATTCAGCGGGCTGGTTCTACCTCACGAGTTGAATGCAGATGCCACCTGAATATTTAGTAAGGGCGGAGTGATGAGGAGCCCTCGGGAACACGTGGGTTCCAGGCCTCTCGAGAGCAGGCGATGCCCTCGGTAGACGCCTGGCGGCGCCAGAGGCCTGAGAAACGACGCATCCCGCCGGCGGCGCGGTACCCACCCGGGCCAAGTGGGCTGCTTTGGGGAAGAGGTCCGGAAGGCCCCTGCTCGCCTCGGTTTTCTGGGAGATCACCCTGGCCGCGTGGGCAATCCGTGTAATTAAAGTCCTGCTCCCAAACAGGCCTGCAGCTAAGCCATTTGGAAAGGAAACTTTTCTTTTAAGATTTGTACTGAATCTTTAAACATTTAGCATAAAATGAAATCTCTCAATTGTTTACTGAAGTTAGCATTGAATGATGCCATGGGGTTATAGCCTTAGGTACATTTCAGGTTTGCATCATTATAAATCAACAAACATCTGTATATAATACACCACGCCCACTACTCAAAGTTCAATTTCACCTTTTTCTCTCTCTCTAAAAATGAACATTACTTTCATGATTTCAAATTCAACTTGTATTCTTTGCCCTTCCAGTCAACTAGTTCCTCTCTTAAAAATGCAGCTGGCATGAGAAGGAATCAGACATTCACACTTAAACGCGGGCATGGGCCTTCCCCTAACCATTTTGCTGCCAGAAGAAAAGGGGCGCTATAGAGGTTACCAGAAAGATGCAGATGTAGCCAGAGAAGGACCAGGTCAGGAGCAGTGAAGGACTCAGCTGGGGGCCA